AAAAAAGGAGAGATCGCGTGGTCCCACGGATTAACCCCGGCGTTGGCAAAGAACCCACACAAGCGAGCAACCGCAAAACAGGAGCTCGCGATTTGTTCGAAAAACAATGAGAAAGTTATAATCTTTTCTTTTATTTTCTTTGATTTTCGTTGTAACCGGATCTAAAAAATACCGGATCTTTGTAACTCGAAAAGCTGTTATTTGAGATGACAATGAAATCAATAATGAAGAAAGACACGATTTTCACCGCGAACAATATTCTTAAGAATAACCTGAATACTCCATTGGGTACACGAGTATAAACTGTTTTCCCTAACTCCAAAGAGTATACGAGTATAAACTGCTTCTTCATGTAACTCCGAAGAGTTTAAGAGTATAAACTGCTTCTCCTTTTCCTCTGACGGGTATACGAGGTTAAACTACTTCCCTTATTTTTAATAACGGGAAGTTCCTAGAGAATATTACTCCTAATATTCTTAAGGATAACCCAACAATGTGGCCGAATATAATTGGATTTAGATTCGCCAAAGAGCTGGGGTGGAATACCTCAATTCATTCCAATGAAAAGTTCCTAGAGAATACTACACATGGTATTTTTTAAGGATAACCCAAAACCGATTAATTATTCAAGGTGAAAACTAATCATCAGAATAATTTATTCTTAATCATGATTAAGAACCTCCCACTGTGGCTATTTAATCATTTTCAAGATGATTAAAACCTTTCTACAGTGACTTTCGAAACATTCTTTCGTTGAGCTGAGATTCAATGACTTCATCGGGTCAATTTTCCCTCACGAAACTCCCACGGAGTGATTGTGGAGTGCTTAATGATTCACGGTCCTCCACCACAAAATCCCTCACTGATCAAATTAATTGACGGTGGGTCCACCAAAATTCTTCACGGTTGAATCCATTCAAACCCCCATTGTGCCTAAGCCTTTAACACTCCCACTGTTGAAGTCCTGACACGACATCCAAAATTTTAATCAGCTGATCCATAGCGATTATCAAACCCCTTCGTATTAAGTCCTTATCGCTTGACACCAAAAAATCCCACCAGGTGTTGTGTACAAGTTAACATTCCCGTCGTTATTTGTACCTCGCTCCCACTTCTTATTTGGTCAAACCTTCCTACAGTTAGGACCAAAGCCAAAATCCCCTCTCGATTCCTTCCATGAACGAGAGGTCCACAAATTGAACGATCAAACCTTTAAACAGTTAGGGTCGTCTCAAACTCCTATTTGGTCAAACCTTTAAACAGTTAGGACCAAAGCTAAAATCCCCTCTCGATTCCTTCCATGAACAAGAGGTCCACAAATTGAGCGATCAAACTTTTAAACAGTTAGGATCGTCTCAAACCCTCATTTGGTCAAACCTTTAAACAGTTAGGACCAAAGCCAAAATCCCCTCTCGATTTCTTTCATGAATGAGAGGTCCACAAATTGAACGATCAAACCTTTAAACAGTTAGGATCGTCGCAAATTTCCATTTGGTCAAACCTTTAAACAGTTAGGACCAAGGCCAAAATCCCCTCTCGATTCCTTCCATGAACGCGAGGTCCATAAATCGAGCGATCAAACCTTTCTACAGTTAGGATCACCTCGAAACTCCCACTTGGTCAAACCTTACTACAGTTAGGACCACAGCAAAAATCTCCTTTCGATTCATTTTGCGAACGAAAGGTCCAACTTTGAATTGGATAATCAAATCTTATGACAGTTAGGATTATTCAAACCAATCCAGATTATCTAAGTGGAGATCCTACTTCAAGTTTCCTTTGCACCAGGAGATAGAATATAAAATTCTTCCTCTCTGATTTTGGGTTCATCTCTACCAACAAAAAAGAGACCAGGAGATAGAATATAAAATTCTTCCTCTCCATCATCGGGTTCATCTCTACCAACAAAAAGAAGACTAGGAGATAGAATATAAAATTCTTCCTCTCCAGTGTCAGGTTCATCTTTCCACCAAAAAGACGTAACCCATCAACATTTCCAATTCCATGTTTGATGCATGGGGGACTCTATCTCGATCCCTTATTAGAGATAAGCCTACGCCTAATACGCGTTGTCGGGTGGTCCGTTCCCGTGAAAACGAACAAGTCTATGTATTCAACATCATAGCACCAAGTCTAAGAGAGTTTATTCTCTTAGCATAACGTTACATGCAGAATGGACTTAAACAATCTGCATGCTAGCCCGATTCAAACGGTAATCGGTAAAGGCTTCTCAAACTCGTTGAGGGCTGAGGGTTTGCCAAAATCCTATAAATTTGATAATCACTGACGCACCAGCTTTATTAGTTGGTCTTGTGACTTGAGTATCTGACAAACTTAGGATAAAATTCATATCTGCATATGAACCAACCTGAATAATTGGTCCTGCAGCCTCAACACTCAAGACTTCTATGCTCTAACGTTTTAAGAGTTTAAACTGTGTAGACTCCAGTAAACACACGAGGATAAACTGTGTTAATGCCTGCCAACGCGTCAATGATTTTTGCCAAAATAAGGCTAAGGAAAAAAGTCCAATGTATGATTTCAGGGGATTCAATTGCGATCCAGATATGAATTCTTAATGAAGAAAATCAGTTCAACATTAGTTCAACGACAAGAGCTAATTCACAAATCAAAACATCAGTTTTAGTTCAAGACTTTGACAACGGTCAAGCGATAAACGCAGCACCGGAAGAATTTTAGCTATTCTACAAAGCACTGAGTAGACTAAAAGATGAAGAAGTCAACGAATTAACGGCCAGACGTATCATATCCAAAGTATTCCAGCCTCTTTTATAAAAGAATGAGGCTGAAACACTTTGGAGGGGGTATCTGTAGGCATAAAAAATTGCCTATAGGTTCTCACATATAGCTCGAGATGAAAAAAAAGACGATGAATGTTACTATCCGAGTCAAGGAGGATTATCTGAGTCAAAGAAGATCATCTAATATTGTAGAGAAGCTAAAAATCACACGAAATAAGTCGGCGAAGCGTACGAGTCTGTGAAACATGCTAAACGATAAAGGAACAACTCAACCAGGAGTTGTGCTTTATCCACAAAAGGGTGAAGTACCATGTGTGTCTCATCTACTCTATGAGTGTCTTGCCTATGGAAAGTTGTAGATCTCTTCATGAGCTTTCCAACGCATCTTGGATCATCTTATTCCGAGATCAGACGAGGGAGTTAGAGCCAAAATACCCGAGACAATACAAACTGTCTCGGAAGTGCGAGACAGACTTCACTGTCTCGGAATGCGAGACAGTCATGACTGTCTCGCACCAAATTTTAAGAAGGTTAAAAGACAAAAGTTATATATCTCTTCATCATCTTTCCAACGTATCTTGGATCATCTTATTCCGAGATCGGACGAGG